TCCTAGGTCTTGACAGTTCCTTCAAGGCAGGGACTCTTCCCTGACTTATGATGATAAGACCTGATTCAGTCACTTATACTTCCAATGCTCTTCCTAGGGTCTTATGCAGTTAAGTGGCTAGGGACAAAGATCTGTACCCTAGAGACAGGTTCATTGTTTTGATGGCCTCTTCACTAGTAATCAAATTATTCAAGCATTAAAGCCCTTCTAAATTGCAGAATGGTTCTCTCTTCTCCTGAGACTTCCTCTTTATGCTTAAACGACTATGCCTTTTCATTCTTCCTAAACTTTAGCTTTGCAGAAGTCTGGTGGGACACACTATTACATATTATTAGGTCCTCTCTAGCTATGACATTTTGTGTTCTATGTCCCAAGGTCCCTTTAGCTTTGATGTTCTATGCTATGTGTTCTAAATATTTTATGCTTCTATAAAATTGTGTCAACTTGTATTAAGTGTATAATGGCACAAGGCACTGTGCTAGGTGCTGGGGGAGATACAAAGATTGATAAATCATGGTACTTGCTTTCATGGAGTTTACACTCTAGTGGAGAAGATGGCAAGTATACAAGTAGCTACAATACAAAATGGAACATGTTATGTGCAAAAAAAAAAATTGCAAGCTAAGTGGAAGGCTTGTAAGATCATAAATGTAGAAGAGGAAGGGACCCCAGAGATCATCCAGTCCAACTCTCTAAGCTAAATATAAAAATTAAAGTTTGAGAAAGTAAAGATCATTTTAAAGTGGGAAGATCAGACTTTATGGAGGAATTGCTATTTCAGTTAAGTTGTGAAGGAGGGGTGAAATTTCAATATTTAGACTTGGGAGTGAAGGTCATTCCTGGTTTAGGGGGCAACAGAGGCACAAGAACAAGAAAATTCAGGATTTTTGGGGGCAGGGCAAATGGTAAATAATCCAGTTTGGCTGAAGCATATAGTAGGCAAAGGGGGGTAGTGTGAGGTAAAGCTGGAAAGGGAGATTGGAGTGAGAGTGTAGAAGCCTTGGATGTCATGCTAAGGGATTAATAATATTTCATAGGCAATAGGAAACTACCAGAGGTTTTGAGCAGAGTAGTGAAGCAATGACAGCAGTGCATGAGATTGCCCTGGCAGCATCTCTACTGTTTGGATTAGAGACCAGGATTCCTATCGGATGCTCTTTCTTGCTGGCTCATGGGAGGCGGTCAGTACAGCTTTAGAGGACTAGCTCAGACCAGGAAGGTATCTCCCTGATCCAGAATGCTTCATAGTTACCATTTAATGGAGGGTTGTAGGGAGAGAATGAATGGGAAAAGCCTGGATCAATGCGAAAAGGGAGGTGCTATAGGTGTTTTCCATATTTCAGCCAGAGAAAAACAAGGAGAATCTTGGATAATTCTAAGCAAACATGACGGCCAGTGTGGTAATGTTGTATGAAGCCTTCACGATATGAAGGTAATAGTGGAAGAAATATTGTATTTAGAGTCAGAGGTCAACAGTTTGAATCCTGACTCTGCTCTTTGCTGCCTATTCTTTACTTCTCTGGGTTTCAGTTTCCTCAGTTGTAAAATGGTTTTGCACTAGAAATTGTTGGCATAGATGATATCTAAGGTCCCTTCTAGGGCTATGATTCTGTCCTGGCTTTCACACTTTGTTGTTGTTGAGTTGTTTCAGTTGTGTCCGACACTTTGTGACCCCATCTGGGGTTTTCTTGGCAAAGATACTGGAGTGGTTTGCTATTTCCTTCTCTAGCTCATTTGACAGATGGGGAAACTGAGGCAAAAAGGGTTTAAGTGACTTGCTTAGGTCACACAGCCAGTGAGTGTCTGAGGCCAGATCCGAACTCAGGAAGATGACTCTAGGCCCAGCTCTCTATCCACTCTGCTACCTAGCTGCCCCACTTTATTTACTAGATACATATACAAGGGCAAGTTATATCATTTCTCTGAGCCTCAGCTTCCCCATCTGTAAAATGAGAAGCATAATATTTATACAACCTACCTTCTGGGGGGGCTGACAGAGAAGCACTTTAGAAATGAGCTATCATTAATGATAAAAATTACTCTCTCTTTCCTACCGTTTAAAGAAAGAAAACAGAGAAGAAATTCCTATCAACCTCATGCACTATTTGTTAGTAGCTGTGATTAAAGGTGTGGAGGAGGAAGAGGGTCAAATGAAATGAACTCAGATGAAGATTATCCAGAGATTTATTTTAACCATTGTGTTCCCTGCCTTGGTTCTTTGGATAATCAAAGAGTTGACTGTATGTCCCTATTTCTAAAGCTTCCTGCTCCTGCTGACTCCCAAGGATAGAAGCCATTATATTCTTGTCTCTTCGATTCTTTGTCTACTCCAAGGTAATTATCAAGAGCTTACTGCACAGGGGAAGAGGAGGAGGCAGAGGAGAGGGATTCTCTGCAGAGAGCAATGAGGCAAAGGGGAACCAGGAGCAAGGACTAGAATTGAATAGACAGTGAAGGTAGAGGCTTTACAATCTGTGAAAAGTCCTTGTTTCGAAGAGGCAGCAGAAGGCCAATGTGAAGTGGTGAGAAGAGGGACTCATCTAGAAGAAAGAATCCTGAGTAAAGGAGGAAAGGTCATAGAATGGTACACACAACATGAACGCTTGAAGAGGTTCTAGAACACAGAACATTAGATCTGAGAGAGACCGCAGAACATGGAACACGGGAGCTGGGAGGGAGCTCAGAACATAGAATTTCAAAGCTAGAAGAGACTTTAGAATAATGAGAGCCAAAGCTGATAGTATAGTATAGAACAGAGGCGGGGAACCTTCAGCCTCAAGGCCGCATGTAGCCTTCTAGGTCCTTGGGTGCAGACTTTTGACTGAGTCCAAATTTTATGGAATAAATCCTTTTTATTAAGGAGATTTGTTCTGTGAAGTTTAGATTCAGTCAAAGGGCTGCACTTGAGGACCTAGAGGGCCACATGTGACCTCCAGGCTGCGGGTTCTCCACTCCTGGCATAGAATGTTAGAACAGAAGAAGATTTCTGAACTAGAAGAGAACTTACAGGCCATCTAGCACATCAGATGAAGACATGAAAGCCCAGGAAGACCAAGCGAGTTTCCCAAAGTCACATGGCTCCATAGAAAATAGTGGAGCTAGGACTTTAGCCCACGTCTCCAGACTCATAGGTCCAGTGAGCTTTTCATTTCACTGCCCTGCCTCCCTGGAGGTTGCAACATCTTCTTAATTCTGTGAGTCAATGGCTAGTGTTTTGGTTCTTTCTCTTTGTTGCTTTCTGGCCACGCTTGGTCTCTGTGCCTAAAGAAGGCATCTTTTAGAAAGAGTCATGGAAAGAAAACCAATTGGAAACACTTGGAGAAACCGGAAGATGTTTAGGGCTGAGAAAACTTCGCAGAGACACAAGGACTGCCTTCAAATACATGAAGGGTTGTCACGTGAAAGAGAGATCAGATTCATTTTTTTTTGTCCCCAAAAGGCAGAAGTAGGATCAGTGGGTCTAAGTTTCAGAGAGACAATTTTAGTTTCCTTATAAAGAAAAACTTCCTAAGAATTATTTTTCAGTCATTTCAGAATCTTCATGATCTGTTTGGGGTTTTCTTGGCAAAGAGACTGGAATGATTTGCCATTTCCTTCTCCAACTCATTTTACAGATGAGGAAACTGAGGCAAACAAAGGTAAAGTGTCACACAGCTGGTAAGTGTCTGAGGTCAGATTTGAACTTGGGAAGATGAGTCCTGATTCCAAGCCCAGTACTCTATCCACTACGCCACCTAGCTGCCCTAAAATTGTAGCTATTTAAAAGTGGAATGGGATGCCTCAGGAAGCAGTAGGGCTCCCTTCTCTAGAGATCATGTAGAGGCATTAAGACTGTCAGGGATGACTTATATAGAGGATTCCTATTCAGGTACAAGCTAGACTAAGTAATCTCAAGCCTCCTTTCCACTCCAAGATTCTGTAATTTTTCAGAGTCAGTGGTAGTTCAATAGAAAGTGATTCTATTGTAATTGCTCCCATTTTTATAGCCTATTACTGTTTATAGAGAATTTTCCTCTTTATATCCCTGTGAGGTAGAATTATTATTCCTATTTTACAGATGTGGAAACTGAGGGTCAAGAGAAGTGAAATCACACAGCTACTTGATCTTAAGTCAGGGTTTTGTTTTTGTTTTGTTTTCAATGGAACCATACCGAAACTTCTATTTGGATGCTTTCAGTGGTCTCCTAAGGGATGTTTTTTTGTTCTCACCTTTTATTGCTTTCTTTGCAGATGAGAAACACATCCTTTCCCAAGACTGAAGACCACCTAACAGCAGCTAGAAAACAGCTTAGACCCTGAAGGAACAGGGTCTGAGATAGTACAGTAGACAGAGTACTGAACTGTGAGTCAAAAGGCAAGGGTTCAAGTCCCAGCTTTAACAGTAACTAACCTCATGGCCAAATAATTTATTTTCTCCAAGCCTCAGTTTCCTCATCTGTAAAATGGACATGCTCTTACTTACTCTGCCTCCTTCACAGCATCGTTGTGAGGGAAATGCTTCATAAACTATGAAATACTAGAGTAATGTACGCAGTTTAGGTGGGTGCACAGGCAATGTGAGTAAGTGAGGCAGGTATGTACTTTTAGCCACAGAGTAGGTGCAGACGCATGTTATTATCAGTCCATATTTTGAGGGGGATTCAAACATTCAGTGCTGTATTTTCAGCTTTATCCATTTTGTTTTGCAGCCAGGGGAGACCAAACAGTTGGTTCCAGGCGGCTTGGAAATCATCATGTTTCTATGAGTGTTGGTGTGCCTGGCACAGTCTCACAGTCTCGTTCCTTCAGAGCCTGCTAGCAGAGGCTGGCAAACACACAGGCACACACATGAACGTGCTCACATGTGAGCACCTACACACACAGTTGTACATGGGCACACAGCCCATTCACCCCCCTCTATATGTGGATATACATGTATGAATATACATACATACATACATATGTATGCTCATCAGAAGCTGGAGTGTCTGGGTTTAAAGTGGCACCTTTCTTCTCTGGCATGATTGCTCTGCTCCTCTTCCCCCCAAGTCCCTCCTCACTCCCCCACATCCTTGCCCTGAGCAGATGCCTACTGTGAAGTGTTCCAGGGGGTTCCAGTTGAAGGACCTAGGGAATGCTGGAGTTCTGTGCAGGGAGGTGTTGAGAGGTCTGTGTGCATCTGACTATTGTGAGCTGTCTTCCCCTATTGGCTCTGAAGAGCCTATGCTGAGCTGGGTCTGCATGACAGGGGGAGGCTCCGTGTCAATAAAAAGAGGGGGAAACAGGCATCAGAACTCCAGTTCTGAGGAGGACGCACGCTGTCCATTTGCAGCCCCTGTCGCTGCTGCAGTGAGGAAGGCTGCCAAGGAAGGACAGATCCTTCCCCTGACCCCAGGGACAAGACCACACTGAGCCTTGCAAGAAACCTGCTGGATTGGACCTGCCTGTGTCATCGGAAAGCACACCTACTGTGGGAAGGTGAGAAGCTTTTCAGGGACTAAGAGACACATAGACACAGGTAAAATTTCAGCCTGGGCAGGAGGGTGGGGGGCATGGAATTTTATTTGTTTTTGTCAATTTGTGCCTGGGGAGCTCAGTGAGGTTGGAAACCAGGGAGAGTGACCCTCTGAAAATTTCACACTGGGGGCTCATTAGTTAGCTCCAAGAATGATTTACTGAGTGTCTGTTCCCTGGGATTTGCCTGTGGTTACCATTCCTGTTTGAAATGAGTGTGTTCCTCTATACGTGTAGTTGATAACCAGTTGCTGCCAGCTATGCTTTGTGGATGGCAAACCCGGTGCTCTCTCAGCCTTATGGTTTCTGGGATAAGACGGGTGCCCTCCAGTTTTTGGGTACATTCAGCCAGCTCAATTTCTGTCCACCTTGTGCCATACTCAGCAAGCTCCATGCTCTCTCCCCTGGCCAAATAGAATGGAATGCTTGGAGTTGATAAGCATAGCTCAAATGTCCATGGTACTTCAGCATCTACAAAGCACTTTCCTGATGATACACTTTGGAAGTATGGAGTGAAAGTATCATTCTCCCCATTTCTAGACTAGAAAACTGAAAACCAAAGGAGAGCTGACTTGCCCAAAATCACGCAGCTGGTCAGAGTCAGAACTAAGACTCAGAGTTCTCTTGACTTCAAATCCAGGGCTCTCCTTAGAGCTTCAGAGAATCAGGATACTTTTTAAAAAAAAAAGGTTTGTGATCTTTTTTGGAGTTTAGATAACAGGGCCTTGGCGCACTGGGGTCCAGGAAGTCACCATTTGCCATGTTTCTAAATGTACAACCAGTGCCAACCTTTTTACTTGTCCCCCAATCATTTTTAATTACTGACAGTAGTATTCGTTTCAGTGCCTTGATTCCGGGTAATTTTGCAAAGTATGAAGCTTTTGTCTTTTTCTCAGAGGAGAAGGGAGAACAGATTCTAAAAGCAAGCATATTTGGAAATCATCCCCTTGTCTTCTCTTTGGTGGTACTTGTTTTGATGAAAGCTGTAGAGTAACACGGACGAGTGACAGAGACAAGTTGGGGAGAGGGGAGGGAGAGAGTAACAAAGCCTCTTGCCTGAGTGAAAAAACCCAGACAAATTTTCTTTTTAAGTGTACAGGATTCCAAACTTTTTTCTAAGAAAAAAGTTGCAAAGACTCTGAAGGGAAGGTTATGCCTAGCCAGATAATGCTGGGCAGAATTGGGTATTGGAAAGAACAGATGATTAGAGTCTGGAAGAACGAAATTCTAGTCCCGGCTTTGCCATAAATTAACTGTGTAATCTGGGGTAGAATCATTAAGAATTAAAAGTACAGTAAAATATGCTTAACACTCAAATTCTACTGGTGGTGGGAAGAGCCTCATAGTAGGAATCAGCGGGGTATGGTCCTGTCTCTGCCACAGACTTACTGTAACACTGCTTTGGACAAATTGCTTCCCTTCCAAGGACTTCATTTTCTCCAATTATGAAAGAAGGGAATCAGAGTAGATAATCTCTCAGATTTCTCCCAGCCCTGACATTTTGTGGTTTTTGTTCCAGCTCTAAAATTCTATGACTATGACTTGCTCTTGTCTGAGCCTCAGTTTCCTTATCTGTAAAATGATGTGGGTTGGGCTAGATTAGTTCTCTTTTAGCTCTAACAGGCTAAGATTCTAAAGGTAAATCCAGCCACCTTTTACTTTCTATAGTATCTTTTATCAATAGTCTTCTAGCTCTTTACAAATATTCCTTAATCACGTTCCTCTCCTGAAATATGCACAGCAGGGTAACAGATCTGATTTCAACGCCCCTCCCACACACAGAAAGCCTTCATTCCCCATTATGCCTTTCGTAGATTGATAAAACATATGCTTCTTTGTATTTCCAGTCTGACAGGACTCGTGTAAGTGTCATTGTTATGAGGATCAGAATATCACTTTGCTTCTTTTCTTCCCCTCTGCTCCCTCTTTCTCTTGTTTCTTCCTCTCAATTTTCTCCTTGCTTCTCCCTGCCTTTTGGTTCTACTTCTGTAGGTCATTTATCTCCAAGCACTCAGTGCAGATAAAGCCTGTGTGGGGTAGTCGGTACAGGAACAGGTGAGTTATGTTTGGGGGGGGAAGCTTCTGCCTGCTTGGTGACAGTTGATCAGGAGCCCACTGTTTTGTCCCCTGTGAGCTAGGGGTTCACTAGATGATACACAAATCCTATGTCTTCTAGAGAGGTGTGAAGGCTTACACCAGTTCCTCTGAATGTTCCATGTAATTGACAATTTTTTAACTGTCAGGGAAATGGACCAGTTTTGTAAATTATTTGACCATCTGCAGTCACAGAATGCCAGAGCTCAGGGAGACCTCAGAACACAAAATATAGTTGTGAGCTGGAAAAGAATGTAGAATTTATCAGATGACATAAAACTTAGCTTATCAGGGCTGGGAGGGACCTTAGAATATGTAACATAGAATGTCACAGCTGGGAGGGAGCTTAGAACATAGAATATAGGATTTAAGAGCTGGGAACAACTGTGAATCACAGAATGTTAGAACCTAAGAGCTTTAAGTGACAATTTCACTGTCCTGAAGTTAAAAGGGACCTTATAGACCACCTGGTCCAAATCTTCCCCAAATAGGAACCCCAACTAAAGCATCCTTGACAACAGATCACCCAACCTCTGCTTGAAGGCCATCACATGGACAGTCCAGAATGTAAAATGTTATCACTGGGAAGGACCCTTCAGAGACCATCTAGTCTGGACAATCTTAGCCTTTTTCTGTCATGATCCCCTTTGGCCTTTGATCCCCTCTCAGAATCGTATTTGTTGCCTACAATGCTAAATTTTAGTTAGTTTTAGTGAAAAATAAAGATGTATTTTTTTTCCCCATTCAAGTTCACAGATGCTCTGAAATATAACAAAAAGCAACAGTAACTAGAATTTAAAAAGTGCTTGCTGGGTACTTAGTACTAAATGCTTTACAAATATTATCTCATTTGATTCCTACAACAACCCTGGGAGAGAGGTGCTATTATTATCCCCATTTCATAGATGAGCTAACTGAGGCAGATAGAAGCTAAGTGATATGCCCAAGCATCACACAGTTAGTTAAGTATCTGAAGCCAGATTGAAATCAGGTCTTGCTGACTCCAGGCCCAGCACTCTTCCCCTGTGCCACATAGCTCCCTTGCGCCTATCTGTGGATCCCTTGGTTAGGACTCTTTTTTGTCATTGTGGTTGAGTCATTTCAGTTGTGTCTGACTCTTTGTGACCCCATTTGATACTGGAATCATTTGCCATTTGCCATTTGCCATTTGCCATTTCCTTCTCCAGCTAATTTTACAGATGAGTAAACTGAGGCACAAACAGGGTTAAATGACTTGCCCAGGGTCACACAGCTAGTAAGGCTGGATTTGAACATGGGAAAATGAATCTCCCTGACTTCAGGCACAGCACTCCCTCCAATGTGCCACCTACCTGCCTTGGACCTGTCTGTGGACCCCTTTGTTCAGACTCTTTAATTTAATCCAACTCCACCATTTAACATCTAGAGCAATGATGATCCAAAGTGTATTATTGCCGTGTACAAGGTGATGCATCTAGTAGGTTTTAAAGCCTAGACTCATTAGCCCACAGGTTAGAGCTGATGGGGACTTCAGATGTCATCAGTTCCAAGCCCCTTCATTTTACAGGCAACAAAACTGAGGCCCAATGATTTGCTCAGGATTATCCAGGTAGTAAGTAGCAGGGCTGGGCCTTGAACCCGGGTCCTCTTACTCCAAATGCAGAGCTCTTTCAACTACCTGACAGCTGAATGATAAACATTCTCTCACACCTAGCAAATCTGCATGAGCTGTGGCCCCCTACTGCTCCTTCTTTTTTATCTCCACCCTGAAATAAATTCATTTTATCTTTTACCTTCAAGATCTTGGAACCCTCTTTGAATGTTGGTTATTGATTATCCCAACCCCCAGGTCTCTGGGACTTTCCACTATGGCCATTGTATTTTATTAGATGTCTTAAATCATTTTGATAGAAATCAATATTTGGGAGACGATTTCAAGAAATGTCAGAGAAAATATAGAGAAGTAACCTGTTTCTCTCACCCATTTTCATCAGTTCCTGTCACTTTGGGACATAAATGACACGTTCTTCATTGGAACTGACAAAGAGCTAAAAATATTTATTGAAATAGAAATCTCTGCCAGAGAGGCAGGGCACTGAACATTGACTCTGTGACTTTAGGGAAGTGTGAGGCCAAGTCCTTTTAAGCCTAGTGCTGATCAACGATTCCCAACTTCGCACAAATTGATTTACTGGGGAGTGGAGTTAAATGGGCAGGCTCTATTTAGGACTCAATGTTTCTGAAAGCTTCTGAATGTGCCCATCTGTTCTCTCCCTTGCACCAGAGCTCTTCTCCAGGTTCTCTAAAATCTCTGCTTTGCCTGAAACACAGGTGCTTCCCCTAATCACTCTATGCAAAGAGATGCTGGGCATTTTTATCTAGGGTCTCAACATCCCTTTGCATCTCAGCCAGTGAAAACACAAAGCGATTGAGTTCAACGCCTGTTTACCAAGCTTTTCTTATCAGTTTTGCGCTATGGTTCTTTAACTAACTGGGGCTGAAAGCTAGGAATCTGGGAAAGTACCAGTGGAGAAAATGTTTATTTTTCAATGTGCATTATGGAAATTTAAGCTCCTAAAGCAACATATTTTCTATCTTATCCTTCCTTCTTCTTTCTCCTTCTCTACCACTTTTGTCGTTTTCCCATCTCTTCTTTCCCCACCTATTATCTCTCTTGATCACTTGTACCTTTCTTTATTCCATTTTGTTTACTTACTTCCTCCCTCTATTTCTCCCTTCCTTCTGCATCATTCTCATTCTACATGTTTCTTCTCCTGTATTGATTAGCTCTCTTTTTCTCAGCATGGTTCTTGCTCAGATTGTTTCTCTATTAGTCAATTCAACTGAACAGACATTTATTAAATACCTACTATAATAGTTAGAATGGGCAGCTAGGTGGTGTAGTAGGTAGAGCACCAGGCCTGGAGTCAGGAAGACCTGAGTTTAAAAAATGACCTCAGATTAGCTATGTGACCCCTGGGCAAGTCACTTAACCCTGGTTGCCTCAGTTTCTTCACCCGTAAAATGAGCTGGAGAAGGAAATGGCAAACCTCTTTGCCAAAAAGACTCCAAATGGGGTCATGAAGAGTCAGAAATGACTGAACAATAAAAATAGTGCATACAGCATAAGAGGCATCCTGGCATAGCAGATAGAGTGTTGGCCTCAGGTTTGGAAAGATTTGAGTTCAAGTACCATCTCTGATACCTATTGGTTGTGTCACAATTTCTCCGTGCCCCAGGCAACTCTCCAAAACTATGAGTTGGAGGTGTCAGTATACATTGGTAGGGGAGTTTCCTTGCTTGGAGTTTCCTATACCCACGAAATCATCATTAGCACCAAAAGACTTTAGAGATCATTTAGTTCAATGGTCTCATCTTGCAGATAAAGCAACTGAGTCTCAGAGAGGCAAGGTGATTTACTCAAATTCACAGAGGCAGGAAATCACTGAGCTAGGCTTCCAATGTGGGTCCTCAGATTCCAAATTCTATGATTTTGCCTAACTAACTCCCATGACTCAAGTAGCCTACTCTTCACTCGCCATTTTTTTCTCTCTCTTTCCTCACTCACCTAAACCAGAATGTGACCGACTTAGATGCCCTCCTTGGAAAAGGGTTATTTTAAAACTATTTTCAATTCATCATGCAGTGATATTGACCTCTGCTCTGTTGTTCCGTTGTTCCTCCTCTGGATATTAGCCTGAAATGAAGTTGTGGCTGACCCCTCCCTGACAGGGACTTAAGCCCTTTGTTTGCCGTGTCTCACCCATTATGAAACTAAGTGATCTGCACGTTTGCCTCTCAATACAGATGGCAAATCACACCTCATCAGGTTTTCATGAATACTGAGGGTACTAATAGGTCCATTGTTTCCCATTGACCTCCTTGGCCCACTATGAACACAGAGAGCTACAATGCCTGGTCCTATGAGTGGTATGAAGGATGTTGAATTTGTTTTGTCTTGGTGGAGATGAGCCAGGGAGTAATTAGCTTGCCATTTAGCATCATTTCATAGAGTAGCATTATTGGAACAGCATCATTTAGTGGAGAGAGTCTTGAGCTGGGATCCAATTCATTTACATCCACTAGCAGTCACCATGTGCCAGGCACTGTGCTGGGTACAGGGAATGTAGGGACAAGAACTAAAGAGACCTTGCCTTCAAGGAGCTTACGTGGGTGAGGGCAAGGTTGGGAGGGAACAGCGTGCACACAGAGAACTCAATAAGTAAACAAACAAATAAATGCACAATGTGTGTGTATATATACATATCACATATGTGATAAATAAATTATATATATGATAAATATACAATAATTTCAGAGTAAAAGAAAGAAGTTAAAACTGGAAGGACCAAGTAAAGACTTACATAGCGGGTAGCACATAATCTGAGCCTTGAAGGCAGCTAGGGCTTCCAATAGACCAGGAGCCAAAAGCAGTGGGGGGAAGTTATACCCTGTCTGTGACTTGCTTGCACGTAGTTGTTTGCTTGTCTTCTCCCCCATTAGACCATGAGCTCCTGGAGGGCAAGGACTGTCATCTGCCTTTCTTTATATCCTCATTCTTAGCACAGTGCCTTGGTACACAGTGGTGCTTAATAAATGCCTACTGACTGACAGAGGGAAATTTCATCCTGATGCCAGGAAAAACCTCCTAATAATTTTCCAATAGTGGACTAGGCTTCCTTGGGAGGCAGTGGATTCCATCTCATTGCAATTTTTGTCCTCAAAAAGAGGGTGGATGACTACTTCTCAGGTTGGTTATAATGGGGACTATGCGTAAGTGTGTGTTGTTGGGAGTGGGTTGGATTAGATGGCTGTGAGGTCCCTTCCAACTCTAAAACTCTGTAATTGTGTGGGCCCAGAACAGAAACGTGGCCCATCCATGATGGATGTGGGAATGCCTATCTCACAGGCTGATGTGAGCCTTAAATGAGACAGTGTAAAGAAAGCAGTTCACAAGCCTTACAGCAATAGAAACATATAATTTTTTATTATCAAGTCAATGATATATTCTTGATGTCTCGCAGTAATTCTAAAAAGCACCAGGCTTAGAGTCAAATGACTTGGGTCCATATCATGGTCATAGATCTAGAGACGGAAAGGATCTTAGAGGCTGCCAAGTACAGTTCCCTCATGAGCAAATTGAGGCCCAGAGAGTTTAAATGTCAAGCCCAGGGTCAAGGGTCTGAGGAAGGATTTGAATCTAGGTCTTCCTGACTCATGGTCCAGTGTCCTAACTACTAGACGTTCTTCCTCTAAGTCCTTGGAATACTGAACCAAGTAAAGGTGAAATATTTCTTCCTTCAGTGTCTCCTCCCTTTCTCCAAATTACCTGGTTCTGATTTCAGCCTTAGACAGGGAAAGAAGGGAATCTGGAGCAGGTAGGAGAGGCGTCTTCTGTTCTAGAACCCTGGGTCACGTGATTCCCTCCAAACTTGCAGGACTTGGTCAAGTGATGGTGTTAGGGGAAGGCCTGTCCTCAGGGCAGTTCTCAGCCCCAGCAAGCCTGGCAGGCCTGGCCTCCAGTTTAAACTCGAGCTTTCCTGAGTATTGGCTTAGATCTATCTAATAAAAAAAAAAAGGAATATGGATTTGGAGCCAGAAGGGGCCCTAGAGATCTCCTAGCTCAGAGATCTTAACATTTTTGATTTCACAGATCCCACGGGAAGCCTTTCTGGTGAAGACCATGGATCCCTTCTTGGAATAATTGTTTCAAACAGATAACACAGCATGTATAGGACTACAAAGAAAATTAATTATATTGAAATAGGCATCAAAAATTTTTTTGAAGTTCATAGACCCCAGATTAAGAATTCATGACCTAGTCCAACCCCTTCATTTTATAGACAAAGAAATTGCAATGTAGAGAATGGGAGTGGCCTTCCTAAGGTAACACAGGTGGTGAGTGGCAGAGCCAGGATTTGAATCCAGGGCTGCTGACTAATAATGAATTGTTTTAAAAAGAAGCTGCCTCCTTACAATGAAATTTCTTTGAAAGGGAAATATATGTATATATGTTGTGTGTATGTATATGTGTATGTATGTGTGTATACACAATGCATATAGGGTATGTGCATATGTATGTGTATGCATATGTACACACATATCCTGCATATATATGTATGCGTGCACACATAGGTCATATGTATATGCATATTTCTATATATCCTGCAATGCACTGTATACACATAATGCAATACATACATGTAATGCACATGTATGTATCTTTTGTATGTAATAGACAGACACATGTGTGCATATATGGGTTGTCCTCAAAACTTAAAACTACATTAAGACTTTTGGGATATCCTCTGTGTGTGTGTGTGTGTGTGTGTGTGTGTGTGTGTGTGTTTTATTTTGGTTTAAAGTATTAGATACAGTATTATTAATTTATATGCAATATGCAGTATATAATAATGTTAGATTTTGTGAATATATCTACATATACATACACATATGTATAGGTGTGTTTGTGTGCATAACGTGTGTACATGTATGCACAAAGAAATTCCACTGTAGGGGGACAGCTTCTTTTTAAATAAATTTGGTATTACTCAGAAGTCCTGGGTTCAAATCCTGGCTTTGCCACTTACTACCTATATTACCTTAGGAAGGTCATGCCAAGTCTCTACACTTCAGTTTCTTTTTCTATATAATGACGGGGTTGGACTAGGTCATGGGGCCTTAACCTGGGGTCTGTGAACTTTAAAAAAAATTTTTTTATAGGGTGTCTCAAAAGTCTTTAGACTTTAATCAGCTTAAACCTGCACTAAGACTTTTGGGATACCCTGTATATGTATGTATATGACGAAAAATAAATCCAATTGTAGATTGCATACAGAATGATACAAATCATATTTGGAAGTAAAAGGGTAGCCTGTATTTGGACCAATACAGTAGTCATCCTCCTAAGACCTCTTCCCATGACTCATTGTAGGTGTTCAGAGTGACTCTGGACTCTTGAGGCTTCTGCCAGTAAAATGTAATCACTGGCCAGTCTTACCAAGCTAATTAAGTACAAACTGAGAGATGGACTGTATTTATTGTTCTGATAAATAGAAGGGGAGGATCATTAGGAGCTTAGCCCCTGGGAAGTGAAATGATTACTTTTTGGCATAGTAATTCTTAAAAGGCATCTCCTAAGGCATGGAGGTGATCCATTGAGGTGATCATCGTGTTTCGGAGCATACCTATTCTGTTTTATAATAGATGTTTAGTCCAATCCACAGAAAAAGCCTGTGGATTGAGCGTGGCTAGTAACTAGACCTCTGTGATCTATCAACCCTCTCTTCCCAGAATAAGATCTCCATTTTCCCTTTCCTCTTCACTGTCTGCCCTGGAATAGCTGTGCTGACTCTGAATTCCATTAATTCAAGGCCAGAAGGGAGAGGAACTCAGTGATTCTGTTACTTGAACCCTTCAGTGGTATCAGGGTAACAATAATTGGTATTTCATCAAATGAAAATGTGTAAACATAGCAGAAAAACACCATTAATCTTCAGCCCTGTCTTTTCTCTTTATCTTTCTTCCTTGTCTTTCTCCCTATTCTCTGGCTAGGTTCTGGTTCACCTCCTTCCCCCTTTATTCTTTTCCTTTTTTCCTCTCCTCCTTTCACTTCTCTTTTCCTTCTCTCTTATTTCCTCCCCTCCCTTCCTCTCTTCTCCATGCTCTCCTTTCCTTTCCCTCTCTTCTTTGCTGTTTATCTTCCCTTTCCTTCTCTCTCCCATACGTCCTATTTTCTTTTACTTCTCCCTTCCTCCCTACCCCACTCCGTTCCCCTCTCCTTGATTTGTCTTGAAATGAACTTGAAGTAGCAAGTATTGCTGAGAACCTTGAGATATCAATGGGAGAAGCCCCCTACCCACCTGCTAACAAATGATCCAAGCTCACAACTGGGGCTCAGTTCATGGTTTAAAGGGAGATTACAGTCTTTGAGGAGTAACCACAGAATCATTAACCATTAAGACTTGAAGGGACCATAGAAATCATTTAATTCAACACCTTAATTGTATAGAGGAAAAACCTGAGGCACAGAGAGGAAGTGACTTGCCCAAGGTCATACAGAGAGTTGGTGACAAAGCAGAGTCTAGAGCCCAGTACTACTGACTTCTAGGCCATGACTCTTTCCATTGAACCATGCTACTGTGTGGTTTGATCTTGGGCAAGTCACTCACTCTTGGCCTCAGTTTCCCTATCTGTAAAATGAAAGAATCATATCAGATTCCTTTTCACCCTGACATGCCATGTTCTGTATTCTGAGGTCCCTCCCAGACTTAACATTCTATGTTCAAAATTCCCTTCTAGCCCTGACATTCTAGGCTTCTGTGATTCTGGAGTGGGGCCAGTAGGGATAAAGAAGAAAGAATGAGTGCCAGAGATGTTACCAAAGACAAAAAGGCAGGATTTGATGGCAGACTGGGTATAGATGAAGGGAGGCAAGAGTCAAAAGAACCCAATACTGTTCAAATTTTCCACAGGCCAGAGAGTAGCTTTTGGGGCGTCTGATGGCCTCGTCTCTAGTCCCTGTGTTTCTCTTTCTCCCTATGCAGAAGGTGTTTCCAGAACAAAATGGAGTGGCAGGTCTTGATTCTTACTCTGTGCCTCAGCACATTTCCCTCAGTCTCTACAGATTGCCCAGCCCAGTGCTCCATGTGTGCTGTACAAACTCAAAACCTGGACAAGCCCATCAACCCACTGGTAGGTATTGAATATGTCATTGTTATTCTAGGTATTGTCTGGGTCACAGATGATTGAACTGTTCTGAGGAAGCATGGGGGAAGGTCAGCATAAAAAGACCTGACCTATGAAGTAATCACACTGCTTTCCTTTCCTTTTTGGGGGGTGAGGGAAGGCAATTGGGGTTAAATGACTTGCCCAGAGTCACACAGCTAGTAAGTATCTGAGGACAGATTTGAACTCAGATCCTCCTGACCCCAGGGCGGGTGTTCTATCCACTGCACCAACTAGCTGCCTCCAGATGACTTTCCATAGGTTTACTAGAGAATCATGGAATCATAGTATATTTGATGTACATGGGACCTTAGGCCATAGACTGTCAGGGCCTTCTAGAAAATGTCATAGTGATCTAAGCCTACTTTTGACAGCATAGGTCTTTCTTTCAAGTGATTGGGCAAGAAACTAATTTTCCATCCCTGAGTCCTTTTCTGCTACTAGACCTACCATAACGTGAGTTGACGACCAATTTTGTGTCGGCCCACTCAATGGTATGGGATATGTTAAGATGATCACAAAGGTCCCTTCCATCTGTCAATACTATGACCTTATTGGAGAGCTGAGAGCTAGCATTTGAATCTTCCCTCTGAGATTACCTCATTTATCACATACCTACATACATATATATATGTATATATACATACACACATGTATACACACATATCTTGTTTGTATGTAGTTATGTGCATGTTGTCTCCCCATCAAACTGGGCTCCTTGAGGACGAGGACTCTCCTCACTTTTCTTTGTATCCCTGGTGCTTAGTACAGTGCCAGGCACTGAGTAGGTGCTTAATAAATGCTCGTTTACCAACTGACTTCTTGTCTTCTTGCTTGGTGTGCCACAGACGTGTTTCCTGGAGTGTCAGACCATCCTGCCGTCTAACACGGAATGGGAGAAGTGTAAGAGCTTTCTGTCGCTATTCACTCCTTTTATGTTGGGCCTTCGTGGGAAAGGCGAGGTTGGAGACATGTCGGTGGCCTCTGAAGAACTATATGGTGAGCAGGATAAGCCCTACCCAGGGCTCGCCAAGACCATGGAGAAGTTTGCCAACGTCCTGGTGCAGGAGAACGCCCACGGCAGAGGCCCGAGCCACAAATACGGGGCACTCCTCCCCAGGCTCGGTGAACAGGCGGTGTCCGAGATGATGGAAGATTCGCAGCAGTACCACAGAGCCTTGGAGACCCGAGAGCCGGGCTACCCTAGCGAGGACGCAGCGGCCGCTTCGGCAGGAAGCCCAAAGGATGAGATGAAACGCTACGGGGGCTTCCTGCGCAAGTATCCCAAGAGGAGCTTCGAGGTGGCCGGGGCCGGTGACGGCCAGGAGCAGGAAGACTTGCACAAACGCTACGGGGGCTTCATGCGAAGAATCCGCCCCAAGCTCAAGTGGGACAATCAGAAGAGGTACGGAGGCTTCCTTCGGAGGCAGTTCAAAGTGGTGACGCGGTCCGAGGAAGACCCCAATGCCTACTCAGGGGAAGTCTCTGGCCTGTAGAGTCTCCCCTCAGCCCTCAGCAGAAATAAGCTTGGAGCTGATCTACTTCTTGTCTGGACTAATTACACCATACCTATACACCATGCTTGGCTGCATATTCTATACAGATGGAAGGTCCAAGCCCACTTCAGTGGTACCCAGTCTGTCCAGGTCCTGGCGGTGTCTGTGTCTGAGCTTAGCAGCAGGGAGAGGCATGTTGGTTTCAATCTCATCTTCCATTCATTTCTGAATCTCACTGTGGTGGAACTGAGATATTTTATCCTTGTGGTACCAAAACAGACTGACACAGACAGACAGATACACCCCCACACGCAAGAAACAAAAAGTACCCGATACCCCCAAACCAGTGGATTTTGATCTTTTCCCCCCTTAGAATACCTTACCTGTAAGGGACCAATGTATCTTCCTCCTGTACAAAGCCCCTTAGCAGACACCTGTGAGTGCAGGCACTCCCATCTCCTAAATGATTGGGCCAAAGAGTGTGTATTCCACTTCATGGGCACCTGACAAAGAGCTTTTAGGACCCAGCCCTTGTTGCCCCCAAAACCTTCTGGGAAATGTAGTCTGAGTCTGATAGAACAGTACTTGCCTATCCAGACACTCTTACATTATATATATATATATATATATATATATATATATATATATATATATATATATATATATATATATATATATATATATATATATATACACATTTCCTGAATTCTGGGTAACCAAAATGATTGAGTTCTCTAATGAATGTACTCTAAATACCCTCTAAAGAATTTGAGGGCCTGTGCTGTCCTCCACCATTTATCCATCCCCTCAACAAACATTTATTTAAGGCCTAATGTGTGTGGTGCCTGTTATGGGTACTGGAAGGAAGGCAAATTTAAGTAAATTTAATGTCCTTGTCGTCAAGGAAGTCTCACATTCATCAATGTATGAATTCCTCCTCTACTCTTTGTTAGTGCTTATCCTGAGACCTTTCCCTTAATTTATTCACTAATGGGAAAAGAGTCTTGACATTCTTTGAACCTTGGATGGTTCTGTTTGGAAACACATCTTTGAATACTGATCTCCTTCTCTCCCCCTTCCACAGTCAATTAATAGGGGAAAAGGACCTTGAAGAAACTGCAGTTTTTATTACCAATAATAATGTTGATTGAGGGGACACTGAATGAATCAGGAACATGTGAAATATGCTTCCTTAAATATTTATGCAGAGTTGAATATGAATAGGGAATTTATGCTTAGATCAAGACCCATTCTGAGTTCCAAAACTTTAAGGGAAAGGTTCAACAAACTTAAAATGCAAACCTGTTCCCTGGGCCCTCGTTAGCCTAATTAAAATGATCAGCATCCTTCTCCTACCCTAGATGAACTGTGGTGGATTCAGACTGATGAGGTGAGGAATGATCAGCCACTTGAGTCACCATATCAGCTGCTGAGAGCCCACACCATATGGTCCACCATATGGGATTGACTTGGACTGAGGCCGTCTAGAAGCAACAGATAGAAAATGAAAGAATGCCTTAATGACCACCCTTTCCAACCAGCATCTCAAAAACAAACAAATCTGGTGATGAAACAATTCAAAAGTCAAATTGGTTCCCTAGGTGCCTCAGAATGATAGTAGCCAACCTTACAAAGCTGTAGCACTGGGAGCCATAGGAGGCAGATTGAATCCTAGAATCTCAAGGAAGGAAGGGACCCTGGATGCCATCTAATTCAATTTCTTACCTGAAGCATAAACTCTCTCTTAGAATCTTCTATAAGTAATCATTCAACTTTCACTTGAACACCTCTGCTGACAGGAAACTCACTATCTCCCAAAGTAACCCATTTCATCATTGCTGCTGACAGGAAACTCACTATCTCCCAAAGTAACCCATTTCATCATTGGACAATTATGAGTGGTAGAAAGTTCTTCCTTATTTTAAACCCAAATTTGCCCTACAATATCATTTGGCCCTAAAATTTTCTCCTGGTGCCAAGAACAAATCAAATGCCTCTTCTTAATGACAGTCTTTCTGCTATCTGAGGGTCAATGATATTGGATTTTGATGTATTATATAAATTGCAGCCTAGCATAAATATTCATCCACAGCCATTAAGTCTATTGTGATGTTCCTACTGTACAGATTGTTTTGTTTTCTTTTTTTAAAAAAAATTCAGTTTACATGACTAAACTGGAGTTTGATCTGTCTGGAATGGGACAGTATCATGCCCCCCCTTTCTTTTCTTCTGTATTATAAATAAAATGAAGATGCCAATGACTCTATCTGTGTCCATAGGCTCTGTTCACAAAGTTTACCTTACCAGTAGCAATCTAAAGATATTTAGGATTTTACTGTTACAGTAGATAATAGATTTATAGTTTTTAGAACTGTGAGGGACCTTAAAGAACATCTGATCTACTCCTCTCATTTTCTCGGATGAGGAAACTGAGCCTCAGGCTCATGTGACTTGCCCGTGGTTGCACAGCTAGTGAGTGTAAGAGGCAGGATTTGAACCAAGTCTTCTTAACTCCAAGGCATTCTATTCGTGATTCCATACTACTTCTCCGTTGGAAGGGACCTTAGAACACAGAACATAAAACATTAGAACTAGAAAGGACCTAGGAACAAGGAATGTTAAAACTTGGAGGGACCAAAGAAATCATCTAATTCAAAAACTTTATTTTACAGAGGAAGAAACTGAGGCTGGGGGTGGGTAGGGAAGAGATTTGTGTAAGACCGCACATCGAGGTAGTGACAGAGCTAGGATCTGAAGCCAGATCTCCTCAGTCCCAGATGAGTACTCCTTCCTTCATGCTGCCACCCTTTTAACTTCAATTCACAGAAAATGGAAGCTTTGCTCATAAATAGAGTCCCAGAGAAAGAATAAAAACTGGCATTTATGTAGTGTGTTAGATTTTGTAAAGCACTTCATATACATTACCTCTCTTGAGCCAGACAACAACTTGGTGAGATGTGTATGATGGGTATTTTTATCCCTGTTTTACAAAGGAGGAAACAGGCACAGTTAGGTTAAGTGACTTGCCCATGGTTACACAGCCAGAAAGTGTCAGAAGCAGGATTCAAAACCAGTTTTGCCTGAAGCCAGCTGAGTATACTAATCCACACAGCTTAATCAAAGGTATAACAACTTGGATAACAACATTTCCCATTGTACCTAGTTGTTAAAAAACAAAAACATTGGCTCAGTTTCAGAGTGAAAATTCCATTCATAAACAGTTCGACAGGGACAGCAGGGGGGAATGAAACCAAGGGGAACTGTGAATGCCAGATTAATAATAATAACAACAATAGTCATCATATATAGTATTTTAAGGTTTGCAATGTTGTTTGTGTTCAGTTGTTTCAGACCCTTTGTGTCCCCATGTTTGGGATTTTCTTGGCAAAGATACTGGAGTGGTTTGTCATTTTCTTCTCCAGCCCATTTGACAGATGAGGAAACTGAGGCAGACAGGGTCAAGTGACTTGCCCAGGGTCACACAGCTAATGGCTGAGGCCATATCTGAACTCATGAAGATGAATCTTCTTGACTTTGGGCCTGGTGCCCTATCCACTATGCCACCTAGCTGTCCCTATGTTCAAGAGGAGCTCAATTTTGAATTTTGACTTCCTGAATAACTTTAGACAAAATATTTGATTTGTGGTGTAGTGGCAAGGTTATGAAATTTCAAGTCAGAAGAAGGCCCAGCCTAGATGTTCCCGACATTCTCCCCCAACCTCCAAATCCTATGAAACTACTATAATCAGTACATTTGAAGTCATTAAACAAGCATTTATTAAGTACCTGTGCTAAATGCTGAGAATACAAAGAAAGGCAAAAAAAGAAAAGAGATAAGCTGTGTTCTGCAGGAGCGCAAAGGGCAGGATGCTGGGTGTGAGGGTGCAGCATGTGTTTATGTTCGGCTCCTATTTACGGCCCCGCCTTGGAGATTTGGGTCCAGGAGTTGTAGGTGAAGAGAGGGATAATTCTGGTGTTCCAGTGTCTCAGTCCTCAACCTTCTTGATCTCTCCGCAGCATCTGATGTCACCCCTCCTCCTTCATGCTCTTCACATCTCCAGGAGCTTTTTCATCTCAAGAGATGGCTGGCTTCTTCGTTTCTTTTCTTTTCTTTCTTTTTTTCCTGGCTGCTTTTCCTCCTTCCACTTTAAATTAGAAGTTCCTCACCATGTTTATGTCAAGGAGCCCCTTTGACCTGGACAAGGAAACTTTTCTCAGAATCATGTTTTTAAATGGATGAAATAAACTGCACAAGATTATTAATGTAACCAATTATCCCGAAATCAAAATGTCATTTTCTTTCCCATCCAAGTTGATGGACTTCCTGAAATAGGCAGACTTTTGGAAGTCCGTGGGCCTCTGCTCTAAATGGGGATTTTATCAAGGCCCTTTATTTGACCCTTCCCCCCCTCCTCCACAACTTTCATTCTAGATGATATCACAGGACTTTATAGCTAGAAGGGACCCAAGAGGTCATCTAATCCAACTCTTTCATTTTGTAGTTAAGGAACCTGAGGAATAGAGCGAAGTGGTTTTACCCAAGCGAGAATGAGAGACAGATTTCAAGACTAAATCTTCTGACTCCAAATCTAGTACTCGTCTCACTACCTTGGCCATAAGAATGGTGGCGTAGTCAAGGATATATCCCAAGGCACTGAATGTAGAGGGATAGGCAGTGATGACACTTATTCTTCAGTAGCTTGGTTAACAAGAATTTTTGTTGTTGTTCAGTCATTTCAGTTGTATCTGACTTTTCGTGACCCCATTTGGGGTTTTCTTGGCAGAGATACTGGAGTGGTTTGCCATTTTTTTTCTCCAGATCATTTTACAGATGAGGAAACTGAGGCAAACAGAGTGAAGTGACATGCCTAGGGTCATACAGCTAGTAAGTGTCTGAGGCTAGATTTCAGCTCAGGAAGACGAGTCTTTCTGACTCCAGGCCTGGTGCTCTATCCACTGTGCCACCTAGCAAGAATAAATTCACTTAAAAAAGGAAGCTGTTTAGCTTCCAGAGCTTTTGAGAACCCACAGTTTAAGAAACCCTGGTTTAGGTGAACTTCTCTCCTAATTTGCCTTGCCACCTCTCCCCATTCTCATTCTCTTTCTACCCACAGGGCATTTCAGGTGTTACTTCTTGTCTAGAATGCTGTAGCCACTCAAAGTCCTTTTGTTGGATTTAGAAGCAAAGGACCTAGAAGGGACCTTTGAGTTACCTCTGTCACTTCCTGCCTGCACAACCCTGGGCAAATCATTTAACCACTCTGGACCCCAGTTTCCTCATCTGTATAATGTAGGGGTTGGATGACGTGACATCTGATGACTCTTACTAGCTCCAAATCTATTATCCTATAATCTTTATCCTTCTGGTCTTTTTTCCCTTTGAAAGTCTGTTTTATATATCACTGACACATCTATCTTCCCAAAACACAGGTCTGATTGTATTGCCTCCTGCTGAGAAGCCTGCAATGGCTCCCAGTTGCCTCCCTAATGAGATACAAATCAATCAGCCTGGCATTTAAGGCCCACCACAATTTAGTCCCAACCTACCTTTCCAGACTAATATCTCTCTCTTAGCCTTGGTGTACCCTTTACTGTAGCCAAATTGGTCTTTTTACCTTTCTCTTGTTAGGTGG